TGATGGCTTCCATCGCATGGCGGTCAATGACACCGCCGTATGTCTTTTTAATACGATAACTTTTTTATTTTCTCTTTCTTAAGGTTAAGGAACTTTTGTATATGTAGAATAACATAGAGACTTAAGTTTTTTTTTTTGACTTTTCGAATTTATTCCGACAATACGATATACGTCTCAACGGTATTGTCCGTAAATCATTTATGAATGAAAAACTTATTCATTATGAGAAAGAGAGAGAGGGTGAGAGAGGGGAGGGGGGCGGAGAACGTTTCCATTTAATCTAATTTTTCAATTGTTCTCAATTTTAATTATATTATTATATTGTTAGAAAACAAGCGTACGTATATAAAAATATAATATATTTCTATGATAGAATTTGTTATATTTTGTTAAGGCATTCGTCTCTTCCTTGGTCATGAAGTTACAATTATACGTACAACAAGTTAACAGTGCATTGGAGGAAACCAGTCAATCGGTATTGTCCAGCTTACCTAGAGTTCTAAGGGACAGTCAATTATTACAACAAGAAGCTTTGGCGTTAAAGGAAAAGATGACTTCTGTTAAACAAGAGATTGCCAAGGTCTTTAATATTGTTATCTTTCTCTTCGTTCATTATATCATTTATTATATAACTTTTTAATTCCGCGAGATTGTTCATTGTGAAATTTATTGAACAGGTAGAAGAGTGTACTGCATCCTCTATAGAATCATTAGAAAGACTCGATAGAATAAAGACTCAACTGGAAACTGCTAAACGTGGCCTACACGAAGCTGATAATTGGAGCGCTTTAGCAAATGATGTAGAGGAAGTACGAATATTGATTTGGATACTTAAGTACTTTTTTATCGTTCTAATTTATTCAAAATACTTTCATATCATATAGGTATTTGAATCGGGAGACATAGAGGTTATAGCTAGTAAATTATTTAGTATGCAAAAGTCATTAACCATGCTCATCAATGTGGTAGATTATGAAGATAAAAAGCTTCAATTAGAAGGCTTAAAAAATAGATTAGAAGCAATGGCCAGTCCAAAACTTGTTCAAGCTTTTAACACTGGAAATTTAGGTACCCACAAAAGTGAACTGTGTTTGTTCATTTTTATGTTCCATCATCTCTATTTTCTTTTCTTCTTTGTTTTTAACATTATATTTTATATACAAATGTTATTTAAATTTATAGATCAGTCCAGAGTTTACGTGGATATTTTCAATAAAATGGAAAGATTACCTCAACTTCTTAAATATTATCACAATTGTTTGAAAGTATCATTAGGACAGGAATGGAGGCGAACTATTGAATTGGCACAAGATGAGAATCTAACGTATTGGTTGCATACTTATTATGACAAACTTTTATCTACTTGGCACGAACAAGTAGATATATCTTACCTATTAGATTATTATTATTATTATTTATCATTATAATTGCACAATTATAATCGTTTAATGATTTTAAAGGTGAAATGGTGCCAACAAGTGTTTCCTAATACATCCAGTGAAATTCTTATTAATGTATATGCTGATCTATTAAGAAGTTTGGATCCGAGCATATCAGAATCGATAGAATCATTATTAAAACAATATTCCAATGCTATGCAGTTATCATTATTGTTGGAACTTAAACAACTTACCAGACATTTTGCAGTAAACATAAGTGGAGCTATAGAAACGTTGTCTTCGACAAAATCAGTAAATCGAAATGTTTCTAATAATGAAACAATGGATAATACAAAAACATTTAATCAATATGTTATATCTTTGGCGCAAGCAATATATGCGCCATATGTTCCATACGTGATGAAGTATAAAACTTACGAAGTTGCACAATTAGAACAACAGCTCCAATCTTTGGATCTATTACACGATGATTTAAGCGATACTATCAATTCTCTATCACTTAGCATTCCAAGAGTCATCGGATATGCTCACGAAGCAAATAAACGTTGTAAATTGTTTACCGATGGCTGTGGCTATCCAGGTTTACTTAAAGCGTTAAATGTATGTTTACCACCGCTTTGCCTTACAATCTAATAGAAAATCCATAAAGATAATTATGTAAAATGAATTCATTTTGCAGATATATTTTGATAAGTATATTATTAAATATCAGGCAACTATACGACAATTAGAGAGGAAAAAAGTTAAACAAGAAGATTGGAATTTATTTCAAATGTGTCTTACCTTAATGCAAAGTATAGGTATTTTTCAAATAATTATCATTGCAATTTTCCTTCTTTACTTTTGGAAGATTTCCATGGTCTTTTTTCTTTTTTCTTTTTATTTTATAGGAGAATTCTTGGGACAAGTGCACCAGTTTGAAAAATCCTTAGTAATCGATATAATCGAATCTAATAATAAATTATTAAGTCATACGGCCGGACCTTTTAACCAATATAAAAAATTGCTCCTCGAACCTGTTGGACAAACCGAATTAGAACAACTTGTTGCTTCGTTTCAGAAGGGTAAATATTAGAGAACATTATTTCATTGTAAAGTATATAAATATTATATTTATAATTACTTTTTTGTAATGATATATTTTATTTACAGAAGACAAAACTATTCTTGATTCAGTTATAAAACCCATTCACAAACTTTGCTCCGATTTACATCATGCAACTTACGAAGTTATTTTTGCACCCATTTTTACCCAATTACTCTCAGTTCAAAAAGCACCTGCTTGGTCAGATGACAATAAAATGCATCTTAGTACAGACCTACCGGATTATAGCTTTGCACCTCAAGAATATATCACGCAAGTTGGCCAATATCTAATGACACTTCCTCAACATTTAGAACCATTTTTATTAAGAGATAATCCGAGTTTAACATTGGCATTAAAAGCTGCCGATCCTCAGTACGCTCAGGGATCAACCGAATCTGGTTTTACGGGTATTTTATTAGATATTATTGCCAGAGGAACTTGCCAAATGTTTCATGATCAAACATTAGCCATTGGCCGATTAAGTTCTGTTGCTTGTAAGCAACTTGCTACTGATATAGGTGATTATAATTGAATAATTATATCGTTCGAGCTGTTAAAGTTAAAGTATTAATATTATTAATCCATATTGTAGATTACGTTGGAAACGTTTTAGAGGAGCTTGGTCTTTCGTTATCAGAAAATCTGCAACATATGTCATTATTATTACGATTACCGCCAGAGGAATATCAAAATGGTAGCTCTGGTTGCAATGCCCGGGTTGTAGCTGCGGTAAGACAAATGAGAAACATTACATTGTCTGGGTAAAATAATGACTTTACTATTTATAAAAAATATTAAAAAACATTAAATTTATATAATTTGTATAAAATATCTTATCATACATAATACATTGACAAACGTATTGATAATTACTATTTTTGATGCAATCAAAATAGTATATTACATTCCAAAGAAAAATTATTTATATCAAAATAAAGTAACAAAATATGCCATTGAAGATTATTCTTCATTAATATTTTACAAACAGATGCTTTCATATCTATTAAGTATAATATTTCTATTTCTATAAAATATATGAATATAATATGTTTATAAAAATATCAATCATGGCAAACATTTTTAATAGATTAACAATAAATTATTGCATATAGATTGCATTCTTTGTTTCTCTTTTAAAACTTACTTTGTATCAGCTTAATGATTGTTTCTATTGCATCAACAATAAATCTGAAACGAAAAAATTGATTTCTATTGTTAATATTAATATAGAAAATATAAACGTACTTCGAATAAAATACCTATTATGGACAGTAAGATCACATCGTTTTTCATATTCTAACTTGATAACGTGCGTAATGTTTCGAAGTTTTTTCATGGATTTAATTGGCAAGTTAAACATATCATTTATTATCAATAATGTAGAAAGTATATCAACCTGCAATATACAATAAATATTTTGACGAAATGATTTGAAAGTGCCATAAAAAATATTTGAAATAAATACTTACTTCATTGTAGTGTATTACAGCTTGTTTTATAGCAAAAAAGCATGCATCTTGATATTTCCTTAAATATAATGTATTTTTTAAAATCTTCTCTGCGAGATATGGAAATTTAATTTTCAATATATCTGCAGAATTGTTTCTATTGTTATCAATAATTTCTTTACTTATATCATTGATACCAGTATTTAATATAATAGTTAAGTACGTAGCGTGCATTTTTTGATCATCGTACGTAGATACGATCATTTCAAAATATTTTTCTATTAACAAAGTTAAAATTTTTAAATTCTAAAACAAATAATTGCGTTAAATGAGTGAAATAATATATATGCGAAAGAACGAAGAAGAATATTACTAATAAATTCATTAAAATATTATTATCTTACATTTGTATATGCAATTATAATATCTTCGGAGTATTCATTTAAAGATATCATTACAGCACATAAGAACTTTGGTAGAATAGTATTTAGTAAATTAGAATCTTCATTATAATATTGAGTTTTATTAAAGTGCAATAAAGCAATGATTGCTTTCAAAGCGTCATGGATAAAAATGATGCCGACGGATGAAGAAATAGATTTGAAATATAGAATTATTATTTTACAACATATCTTTGTAGACAGTTGGCATTCTTTTATCATAGAATTGCATACGTTAAAAACTATCTTCAATATATTAATTGGAAATTGATGTTTCTTATGTTCTTCCATTGTAGGCATTTTAGGTATCACTTTCCTATACAAATTTAAATTGCATTATTATTTATATGAATTTAACATGAAAATTGTTATATTATATGAACATTTATATTATTCATACTCTTCGACCCATGATAATATATCTTGAAGACATTCTGAAATATCGTAAACGTCAATTTTCAATAGGACATATATCATCGATAAATAATCCTTGAAAAGACCAATCAAAACTTGTTCCTTCATTATGTTACTTAATTCGTTTGAACGTGTCAATCTATTTTCCATGTGATATTGTATCACACGCAATTCTTTCCAAGCATTCACTAAATCTTCATAATATATAGTCAATAATTTTTCTTGGAAATCAATATTCAATAATTGTTTGAGTATTTCTACGGTCAATATAAGTGTCTTTTCTTGTTCTTTTATAAACAAATCATTACTATTTTCCTATGTGAAAGAGAAAAAAAGTAAATACTTTCTAGCTATTTAAAGGATTATAGGATTATAGAATAGTACTAACTTGATTATACTCTATCGTTGTATTTGTAAATTTTTTTATCAATTCTTTTAATAACGTAAAGACTATATCCATTTTCTCCCATTTCATTAACGTGTATAAAATTGTAATTATCATCTCATTGGAAATATTACGATTAGATAATTGTTCCACAATAGTTTCACATATATTGTTTACATTGGTCATCATAGTAACAGGTAAAAATGAAAGTAAGAATAACGTAGATTCATTCAAAGATAATTTCTAAAAAAATTTCACTTTACCTATAAAGTAATTTTTTTTATTTTTAATTAATAACATTATTCATACCTGTATTCTATATGAACATAAAATTTGTGGCAGTATGCTTGTACAGATCCGTCGTAAGTCCCTTCCCTCTTCTTTGTCAAAATATTCTTTTGTAACATTATTTTTGTTTACATATAATATTACAGCAACTACCTCAAGTAATATATTAATTGATTCGCATGTATTAATTTCTTGTTTAATTATATCTTTGGTAGAGTTTGCTGAAGAAACAAAAAATATTATTAATTTAGCAATTTTATATTGGCTACAAAGTAAAAATGTAAAATTAATACTAAATACCATTATGTGATTTATCGTTATTCCTTTTAAATCTTTTACTACATTTATTGCTTGTTTCATCATCTGCTAATAAACAGCATGCTTGTCTTTCAATAGTCAGTAATATAATATTTATAAGTTTAGAAGCATTATCCCAATTAATGATATACTTTGAATGAAAAAAAAACTTTCTTGTTGCCGTAATATTCTTCATTCCTATATTTATGATTTCTTGTGTGGCATTGTCATTATTTATATCATGTGGTTGTATTCGCAAACATAGTAATTTTATTAATTGCTGTAATAATTTCGACTCATTGGTATCCTAAATAAAAATGGTAAAATTTATTAAGAATATATATATATATATATATATATATATATTTTTTTTTTCTTTTAGCTGCTTCGAATATAAATGATCGATTTATTTATATCCGAATTGATTTACCTCTATGCATTTCAATAAAGTAGTTAATGCAACAATATCCCAAACTAAAATGCCAATGTGATTTTGAAGATATACAATGAGTTTAGTAAAACATTTGATAACATCTATGTCTGCGTAATATATTTGATTGACAAAATTATTTATAAAACTTTTTACACTTGTATGAGAGTGTTTATTAGATACCATTTGTTTGATACCATTTAAGATACTTATTTTAATTTCTGAAGAAGATTTGCTTTTCATATGACATGATAAAATATTTAACCAATTTTTAATTATATTAGCAGGTATATGCTTCCAATGAGACTCCAATATTTTAAAAGTATCCTGCAATATAGAAATATATCTATAACTATTACAAATTATTATTTTATATCAAGGAATCAATATATATATGTAATAATTATGTACATTTATAGCTATAAGACACACTTGCTGATTGCAATCTTTCAAAAGGCATGAAATAGCTTTTGCATATTGTTTCATGTCATTTTCATTTTGTGTCAAATGTTTCGATTCCACAGAATAAATAATAAATAGAATTTCAGCTGCGTTGCATCTGACGCATGATCCAGAAGCCTGAAATAAAATTAACCCATAGATATAATTGTTGTAATATTATATCAAAATTATATTGTTATCCATTGTTTTAAAAAGTTTCTACCTTCAAATGTTCCCATAATAAACTTTTGCAATGATCATGCAACATTACTCTTATTGTATTGCTTTTATAATGATATAATTCATCTATGAATATAAGTAAATTTGTTCCAAGTTTGACTCGTCCTGTAGAATCTCTACGCGATCTAAGACAATGAAAAATAATGTTTCTGAAACATTTTTCGATTATCAACTTCTTAGTTTTATTGGTAGCACTTAACCATGCTTTGGCATACAAATTTGCATATCCTTTTATTACATCAGGTTCTGCAATTTCAAGTATTGCTTTTACATTATTATGAATCCCCTACAATTTAATAATTATATTAAAATTACAAAGAATAAATGTCTCATAGATTAATATTATATTATACCATTACGAATTCTTCTCCTAACGCAAATAATTTTAACAAAATAACTCTTCCTTCTGGTATAGACATAACGATGCTACTCCGTGATAATTCAACCAACATTTGTATATCGTCGTTACGTTCTATTAAATACAGCGCAGATCTTATTTTATGTAATCGTTTAATATGTTGCTGAAAGTATGATACATTATTTGTATAAAAACTTGCGAACGTTTTTTGCATATATGAGTTTATGTATTTATGCAGATTATGAGAGTATAAATTTATGCCTATATGAGTTACCAATGAACTTTCAGATGTTTCGGTCAGATGCTTTATAGCATTTATTATTACTTTTTCTTTCCATATCATATTTGATTTCCACCAATTTTCTAGAAGGTATGATATTTCATCTTTTACCTTAAAAAGAATTATTGTATATGTGTAACAGTTATTTCTGTGGATCATAGATATAACAAACCTTTGTATCTTTCATTTCTGGTAATATAACCGAGTGAAGTATTATTACAATCTCTAATAATATATTTGGTAAAAATGTTCTTTGCAGCACTGTCTCCAAAGCCATTGCTGCTATCGTCTCTATCAATTTTAATGCTTGTTGCTTTTCCTAGAAATATATTTCAAACTTAATAATTTATATAATGTAATCTCTATAGACACAGGATATGTGTCACAAGTGGGAAGAAGATAATTCTAAATGGAAAAAGAATTTGAAAATATGAAATAACATTCTTTTTACATACAAGCTATTTTCAAGAAAATTCATTGCATGCGTATAAAATTATGACTAAGATATGATTCATCAAGCGACGTATAATATTTATCTGTAAACAATGCTCTTTGATTTCTTCTGACATCTTCTTTATTTGAGCAATCAGTTTTCTTTTAATTATTACGTTTGAAATTTACTTTTAAAGATAGCAACAAGTGCTAAAATTGATATATATATATATACATATATATAATGTTCATACTTTGGAATTTTTATTATTCGATTGTAATATAGATAGCTTTTGTGCCTTTAACAGTACTACTTTCACATGGTACCATAATTCGCATAGCTCTTCTTCAGATAAGACTATTATATTTTTTGCGTCCAACTTCTGTAAAAGGAAATATTAAATATTTATTCCGACTATAACAATTAATATTTAAAATAAGTATATACGGAGATTATATTATTTTACGTAAAGAAATAAAATAAATAATGGCTATAAATTGCAAATATAATAATGTAAATTGTAAATGATATGTAAACGAACCATTTTATCACATATAGTGGATATATCATAGCCTTTGGTTTTTAAAATGCGAAACAATAGTTTATCATCTATTATAACACGTTGGCAGGACATTTTTTATATAATAGAAATTATATATATCATCAAAATTAATATAGATATCTTTTCTGCTTTCAATATCTTTCTCATTTAAAAGTATCAATATTTTCAAACAAAATTTCTTTTTATGGTATACACTCTATTTGCTTAATTTTTATAACAGAAATATTACATATAAAATAACATATATGTATATATTTTACATAATCTTTCACATTTAAATTAATATATAATCCATCAGGATTACCCATGCCGCTTAAATTAGCTTTTTAACGTGGATTCAATCACAATAATAGCATGTAGAACAAAACATATTTAACCTTCAAAGTTTTTATCGTAAATGTGTTACGTAAATATAGAAGAAATTAACGCCATCTATTAATAGCGTTACGTACTTAACGACGCGTTGGTCGAATCGCGCCAAGATAGACTCAGGAACGTATTAACAAGGGGATCCAGCTGGTACCAAGAATAAAAAGAAAATTTCTATCAGATATTAAAGAAGGTTAATTTAAATTATAAAAATTATACAATATTATTTCTTTACGTGATCTTTATTCGCTACAAATATGTTAAAACCGAAAAATCATCATCGCTAATAGATATCGTTCACCATGGTTGCCGCCACGTTGTATTCAGGCTCTCCATTGAATTAATTGTGATTAGCTAATAATATAAAATAATCAATCGTAAAGCTCGCAGCACCATAGTAACTTGCTAATGCACGATTCATACGTTCAAATTTTCATATATTAGAAAGTATAAATCATACTAATCTTTGAACGGACGACGTCGACACGTTGAAAATTTTTTTACACATTCATACCATTTTCACGCAAACGCCACACGTGCGTACAGAATTCTCTCTTTCTCTTTTTCTCTTGCGTAAATAAAGCGCCGACGAACTAGCGTCAGTTTTTCTTTTATCACACGTATTTTATAAAGATAGGAATAGCTACAGGGAATATATAACACGATATATTCATATCATATATATATATATAATATATATCTTATATATATCATATATATACACACACATATATATATATATAAATTATGATTCATTAGTACTCTTTGACGAATTTTAGTTAGAAAGTAATAAAAGGGATATAATGGACAGAAGAAATGCAGAAAATGCTAACGTTCCAATATGGCGTCCAATATTAGAAATACTATGAAAATAAAAAAAAAAAGAAAAAAGAAAAAGAAAAAAGAGATAAAAGACACGAATTTATGAATGATAGTAAGACTTTAATATACTTATTAATATTTCCTGTCATTATTTATAAAACTTTGTATCACAAATACGTGTTTTAAAGATGGAGCCAAAAATGAACCAATCACATTTACTGCATTTGTTGTTTCCATTATACAATAATTACATTGCATTGATTAATCACCAATTTGACTGTATATAAATGTGCTCGATAAAAACAACAATATAATATATATATATATATATATATATATATATAAATATGTATATATAATTATATAATATACATATTTTTGTTTTATTCTGACGATTACAAATAATATTTTAAAATAATAATATTTTAATATTATATATACATACATATATATATATATGTATATATATATATATATTTATATAGTTAGAATAACAAATCTGATTGTTTAACATTTGGATATTTAAATTTCGTGGCAAAAGAAGAGTAGAATGTTATTCTCGTATAGGTTAAGTGACACAACTTTATCATCATGTATACAACAAACAAACATAGTAAAATAATTCATAAATAAATTACATTTATAAATTCGTTAACGTTAATTAATCCTCTATAAGCCAATTTATTATTAGATTTAGATCAAAATTATATGTATAATATGACAATTACATAATATCATTTTTAGCAAAGTGCTAATACAAGTACTAATTATTAGTTTATAAACACTAGTATAGTACTAATATAGTAGAAAAATTATAATATAATCTTTTTACAAAGTATTAGTAAATATTAGTAGTTATACTGCTATAAGTAAATTACGAAGAGCTATCTTCTAGTACTATACTCGTATTTATTAAACAAAAGCAAACTTAATTTTTAAAGTAAATTACAGAATTCTATACTCTATATTATAATTTGCAATTATATATATATATATTAGTATAAAATATTAATACATTGTAAAAATTATATTATAATTTTTTACTATACTGGTATAATAGTATAGTATAAATATATAAAGTATAAGTATTAATATTTTTTTTTTTTTTTTATAATTTTCCTTTTACTAATATTACTAACAGTATATATACTTATTATATATTATTACTTTTATTAGTATACTAGTTAGTATTACTTATACTAGTGTAAGTAGAAATATACTGGTATAAATAATACATGAATTAGTATAATTAGTAATCTAATAGTGTAAGTATATTACTTTAAGTAGTACTAGTAACATACTCATATAATTATACTATACTATACTAAGCACCATAACTTAATATTTAATAAAATCATGAAAAATTTTAAATATCAAGTAACAACGAAATTTGTGATAAATATAATGAACCAAAGCTTCAAAAACACAGAAAAATAATTGTGTGTAACATGGAATTTACTACATGGCTTCATAGAGGATTAATTTGTATATTCTTTTCTCTTTTTCAATTTATTTCTTTCTTAAATTTTTTTTTTTTTCTATTATCTTTTTCTCTTTCTTTCTTACTTTTTCCTCTATCGTTCGAAGTAGTTGTTGTAGCACTTGTGCGTATTTTGTCGACGTTGTTTAGCGAGTTACAAACACGATGCTTAATATGAATAATGTCTCATCATTAAAATAATTAATTATCGAAATAATCAAAGTGGCACGATTTCAGTATGTTTCTCTCCCTCTGTCTCTCTCTCTCTCTCTTTTTTTCTTTCTTTCATATCTGAATATCAATTGTTTCATTTTGACTAGAATTATTTAACTAATATCGGCTATGAGATTACATCGTCAGTTTGTCTATGTTGGTGATATTTCAAAATCATATTTAATTCGTCCTTTATTTTCTTTTACAATCATTCGATTATGATATTAACCCAAGTTAAATAGTCTTAAAGCTGTAGTAGTAATATATATATATATATATATATATTTCGTAAAACGGAGCAAGTACTGTAGCTTAGAGAGCTGTTGCTAATTACTATCAGAGAAGAGGCATGCAAGGAACACGACGAACGTTTTAGTTTTTCTCTTATTTTCATTCTTTTTCTATTTTCTTTCTTTTTTTTTTTTTTAATCATCTTTTTTCATTTTTTTGTCTCCTTTTGAGTTTTATGTTTTTTTCCCTGTTTTATTTTCCCCCCTCTCTCTCTCTCTCTCTCTCTCTCTCTCTCTCTCTCTCTCTCTCTCCCTCTCTCTCTCTCTCTCTCTTGTTTTGTTAATTACAAAAAGAGAAATATACGTTCGTCGAAAGCAGTTCATTAAAATTATTATCATTGCATATTGAATTGTAAGCAAAGTCAAAATGCTTTATGTGCCTACAATTCGCATAGAATGAAATTTGCTTAAAATATACCAAAAGTTATTATTATTATTATTATTATTATTATTATTATTTTTTTGGATGACCGTGAGCAACGATGTCATCATGATCCGTCATCATTAAGCCATTCCTTTGCTACTAATATTTTTCTTTTTTTTTTTCTCTCTCTCTTTCTCATATTTATTTCTTTTTGTTTCATTCATTATTTAAGCAAGAAAGTAGTCATGCTTATCCAATAACATTTTTTCAAATCACATGAGTAACGATCCAATGCTTAAAAAAAGAAAAAAAAAAAAAAAAAAAAAAAAAAAAAAAAGAAAGAAATCGCATTCAAAATAGCACTAATATACTAAAGACACCATTGATAAGTTACACAAGGTGTCTAACTCGCTTTATCAATATTTTGCTGCTGACCATTGCATTTGTCGTATGAATGTACGTGATGCAATATGTGAATATTCGAATATCCGATATAACACGATTAAATGTGAATTACAATTTTTTGTAAGAGATTTTCTTTTTCTTTTTCGTTTTTTTTGCTTTTTTCTTTTTTTTATGTTTTATTCCTTTATGCGGTCAGCAGCCGGTAAATTTCATGCTACTTTCTTTTTGTTGCTCTTCTTGCTTCGGGGTAGAGTAGCAAAACTTGTTATCTGCAATGCAAGAAGAAATAATTTAGCCGTGCAATTGTTAGTAACAATGTATTATTAAACTAAAAAATTTTAAAAAGAAATATATATATATGTATGTAAAAGAATATATACACTATTAATAATTATATTGCTAATTATGTGCGAATAATGTAATAGTCATATGACTGTCATTCTGTTATTTGTTTTAATTTTTTTTTTTTGAAATGGATGAAATGCACACAATTTTTTTTTTTTCTTTTTGAAGATAAAAAGATTGGCATGCAATATGAATCTAGACACATTAATGTGCTTTATGTGTTAAACTTATATAACACACACACACATTAGTTATATGTTATATCGAATTTCTTCAAAAGATCATTTTCATACAATTACAGTGGACCAACCCGTTTTTCTTGCCATGTTCCGATGTATTCTAAAGTTGTGTCAAATAAAAATAGGATAGGAAATAAGGATCGATTGTTTTTTTGTTCTTTTCTTTTTTTTTTTTTTTTTTCTTTTTTCTATTCCATTTTCAAGCAATATTCTCATCGGAGTAAACTTTTCTCGAGGCACCAGGCGATCGTGACATTTGTGGTATTGATATACGTTTCACTGAAGTCACTTTTCTGTCGGAATCTTCTCTTTTATCGGATAAAATATTCTGATCACATTTATCAAAAGTCAAATCTTTTTTGAAATTATTTTCATCGACTTTGTCGTTATTAACGTTGCTTGAAATTTCATTAGGATCTATATCATATTGTTCATTATTAATCTTATTTGGAAAAATATCCTGAGATCCTATACTGACAGATCTTGATCTGGAGCTATAATATTCAGAAACAGACGGACTAGATTCATCGTCTTTGTTTGATCCGCTTGGAGTTTTGTGAAAGGCACCTTGAAGAATATTTTTTGGAATAGTTAATAATTTTGCGATACCATTCTTCTTATTTCGTTTCTTCCTTTTACTTTTTGTTTGAGCTGTGTGAGCTATGAAAACGTCTTTGGCACTGTCAATATTTGAAAAAGTTTTTACCATGCCAGTTTTTATTACTAGGGTTGCTTTTAATGCATTTTCCGATTGATTGTCTTCAGATAGGACGACTTCATCGTCCGTTAAAATCGGTGTCTTTGGTGCTGGCTTTTTGTTATATTTACCAGCACGATCATTATCGTCAGAGTTACTTCGAGTTAAATTCGTTGTGGGCAAAACATTTAAAGAATCAACATTTCTAAAATTTTCTAAAGATTGTGCCTCGCCCATGGCAAACTTACCAATCCGATTTAATTTTTCCTCGGATGATACTATCTTCGTGACCGCCTTGTGCGCATTATTTAAAAGTTCTTTCAATTCGTCCAGCTTCTCTCGACAAATCTCATCCTTGATTTTATCAATATCCACATCGATGACGGCTGTTTGCAAAGAATTTTTACGAACATCGGTCTTTTCACAATTCTTATTTTCCATATCTTTTTGTTGAAGATCTGATTCTGTGCTTGATGGTTTTGTTAAAATTTCAGTTGACCTTTGACAGTCCTTTGAGTTATTATCTATTTCTGAAAGTTCAGTCTGAAGTTTATCAGGTACTCCATCTGTCTCGGATGTTACATTTGGTACAAACCAAACCTCAGATTCTTCGGATGACGATTTAGATTCTTTTTTTCTGATATCATCGTCTAACAATCGTTCATTGTTATCGAACTTACTAATCTTCTGACGATCATCATTCGGAGTCAGGAATAACAAAAGCTGATGAACTTGGTCAGGAGTGAGGAAGGTTAATGGCGATGGAAGAAGGTCGTCGTACTCGGATTCCTCTCCAATGTCCTTCAAATATCATAAGCGTTGAAAACAATTAAATGTTTCGAGTTCTACCAATTGGTTTTCATACAATTGTATGAAGGGAAAAAAGAAATTAAAAATTAAAAATAAAAATAAAGAAATAACACATGAAGTCATATTTATGACAGTAAAAATCGGAACGACAAATAACGAGAAAAAAAGTTGATGACATATTTCCAATATTTTCCTAATATAGATTTAATATTTTTTCGAGGATTACTCTTGGAGTACCAACCTCAGGTGTTTTTTTTGTTGTCGAACGAGGCTTCACGCGTGTCCTGGCTCCAACACTCGATGTTCTAACTAATGCGTCACCTTGGGATGCTGCTCGATGAGATTGCAATGCTTCGCCGCTACTGTATCCGCTGGATATATCGTCGGAGGATCTGATATTACTGTAATATTGTGAATAATAATAAAAAAAAAAAAAAAAAAAAAAAAAAAAGAAGAAAAGAAGAAAACACTAACAAAACTCATCATCGATAAAAATCATGATTCATAGTCATTGTCGATTAACGATCCTTTCTAAAAGTATATTTTGGTATTATTATATTTTTCGTGGATCGAAGGACGAATGTCTTTGCGAAAAAAATTTCTTATAAAAAAAAAATAAACTTCGATGATTAAAAATATTATATATTTACGTACGTTAAACTAGTTATTGGTTCTCTAGGCCTTGGCTGGATCATATCGACGTCTACTTCAGAAAAGTACATTTCTACTCTATTGGTGCTGGATTGTGTCCTTCGTGGACTGTATCCTCTTCTCCCTACATGCTCTCTTCGACGAGGTTCCACTAAGAGTTTATTGATTACATTAAATAAATAACCAAAATTACAGGTATTTGAGAAGAAATCACTTTCCAAAAAGACACGAGTAAAAAGGCAAAAAAAGAAAAAAAAAAAAAGTAAATATTTACATGCGCTGTGTAGTTGACTCAGAATCGTGCAAATATTTTTTTTATTAAATTTTCTTGTGACCAATCGTGATATATTTGTTTAAACATTATGAATGGTAATACATGTGACCATGTAATAAAAATGACCACACTGGGATTAAACATGTTTTCAAAATCTAATATATATATAGAATACGTGATTATTTAAATAGTACTTCACAATTATTAGTTTTGTTCTTATTGTTCAATGCAAACAAACCATAATAACAAATAAATAAATAAAAAAAAAAAATATATATATATATATACATATATGTATATAGTAAATGTGAATTTAAAGAGGTCAGGTCAAAAGAGTGACTAAAATGATTGTCAACGTGTATTAAGAAATAGTTATATAAAATATAAAAACCACCTTCCATGTCAGTCTCGTCTCGCGATTCAGGCAAGCTTCTATTTTCGACATCCTTTCCACCAGTCAGATCGCTTAAACTATAGCTTTTCCTCAATTGTTGAACCAATCCACCGCCCCCCTGAAAAAACATAATCTCTGTATTAGAAAAAAATCATTACGAATTTAATGTCAATCGACTTTTTTTTCTCTCTTGAATTTTTGTTTTGATTGAAATTGTAATGATTAAGGAGAAAAAAAAGAGAAAGAAAGAAAGTGAGAGAAAGAGATGAAGAAAAAGAAATTGAGAGAGAGAGAGAGAGAGAGAGGAAAGAAAAAAGGCAAAAAAAAAATAATAAAATCTTACCAACCAAGAAAGGATGTTAATGTGTTATCTGGGCCGTCACCAGTGCGAAGGTAGTAAATGTCCAATGTTTATTTTTTATTTTTTTATTTCTGTCTGAGGGGTGAGTGGCGTTAAAAAAATTCTTCTCTTGTTTGTATTTCTCTTTCTTTTTTTTTTTTTTTTTTTTTCTTCAGCGCTCGCTGAAAAGCTCGGATGCGTCCACGTGACGATAACTTTCAAGCGATTACATATTATAATAACATCTTGATGTTAAACGCTTACGATATTTGAACAGTTACAATATGAAAAAATTTTTTTTTTCTTTAATTATATATTTATTATTATTATTATTATTATTATTATTATTATTATTATTAGTATTATTATTATTATTAATCTTATTAATCGTCAGCCAGCCTTTAATGTATATTAATGCCTTAGCGAATAATTGCAAAACATTCAATCGTTTCAAAAGTCTATTTTATTAATTTAAAATTATAAGATAAAGAAGAAGGATAGAGAGAGAGAGAGAGATAGAAATAGCACGCGTATATGTGTATGTGCGAGAGAGAGAGAGAGAGAGAGAGAGAAAGAGAGTGTGATAAAGGAATGGAAGAGCGAGTAAAAGAACGTTATTAGCAAAATGTTTTTTATTTGGGAGAAAAAAAAAAGAAGAGGAAAGAAGAATCCTTATAATATTTTTATAGAGAATCTTTGGAAACGCATATCAAAAAAGTCTTACACGCTATAAATATTATGATTCTTTAAACATACGTATACACGAAGTACAAAAAAAAAGAATATAAATAAAAAGAGAAAACAAATAAAATAGTGATGTAATAGAATAGTGATGTATAATATTGTTACAACCAAAAGAAAATTTACGAATAAATTATCAATTCAATCGATACTTTCATTAAAAAAAAAAAAAAAAAAAAAAATTAAAAAAGATAAGAAGGAAGAATGATATTATTCACAGCTTATATAATTCGTTCTAATTTCTATAATATATATATATATATATATTATTCATTATATTTCGAACGGGAGAAAAAATCGTAAAATCTCTTTGTGCACATTGTAAAAAACAGATTAATCAAATTCTCTGACTCAAAAATCTTTGTTTATATTCATGTCTATGAATAATAAATTGGTAACTCTCGTAATTACTTAATTGCAAGTTAGATAACAGATTAGATTAATAAGATTAGTGTTAAAGAGCGTAACGTAACAATGACATGATCACGCTCTTTATTCAACTAATCTTTTATATATATATATATATATGTATATATGTATGTATGTATGTATGTATGTATGTATGTTTGTGTACATGTATATCTCTTATTATTTTTTCTTACAACGATATATCACTTGGGCGTATTTTTATTTTAATCACATCAAATGCATCCACACGCATACACACAAAGGCACACACGTATTCGCAGTCTTCAACTCTGTTTTCTTTTTTTATTTTTTTTTCTTATTTTTTTATTTTTCCCTAAAGCTCTCTGGATAACGATACAGTTTTTTTTGTGCTTTCTCTTGCTTTTTTTTTTCTTTTTTATTTTTTTTAAAATTTTTTTATTTATTTATTATTTTTTTTTTGTTTTAAGGATTTTCGCACACGCAAAAACATGGTAGATATAAAAATTATGTGTAATAGGAAAAGAAAGGCAATAATAATTAAGAAAGAAAAAGATTGACATATACATAGCGCATAAGTTCCACACAATATATAAGATTCCCATATGGAAGAAAGAATAATAATAATAATAATAATAATAGTAATACATAAGAAAAAAAAAAGAAAGAAAAAAAAAAAGAAAGAAAAAAAAAAGCAATACATGACGTCACGCGACAGACATTTTAATTTCGTCGATTGTCTTCGTTCTTGAGTATTAATTAATTTTTAATAACGATTCAATTATATTCTGAATAATAAAACATGCGGAATTTAAAATCATACAGACAGACGTTATAAAAATCGTTATAATGTTGTTTTCTTTATCTTGGTTTTATTAATTTTTTTAATCTATCCGATCGACTTCCAGTCTTATTGTGCTTTTCTTTGACTTCGCATTTTCTAATATCTTACGATTAATTGTTAAGATGCATCGCTGATTATTCATCATCATTCTTTAATAATACCTTACCAGAAAAATTTTTATCAGAAATTATAAATTAATTATAATTATGAAATCAATCAGATAGATGTCTTATAAAAATTTGGTTTTATTGTCAAACGTTGGATGACATTGATCCTTACCAAATTTTTTTTTTTATTGTCTTTCGTTGACATCGCATTTTATAAATATCATGTAATTAATAATTAAGATGCGTCCTTGATTATACGTTATCGTTCTTTAATATATATATGTGAGAGAAATTTTAATCGTAAATTAATTATAATTTGAAATCAATCAGGTTAATGTTATATATACATATATATAAACATTTGTAACTTTGGCTTTTGACCTGATCGACTTCCGTTTTTATTGTCTATCATTAACATTACATTCATTCTGTAATATTATCGGAACATTCGTGCGTTGTTGAAAAATTCGTTCTCTCAAGTCGAGTTAACAATGAAACTTTTAAAATCAATCAGGGTAGATATTATAAAAAAAAAAAAAAAAAAAAAAAAAAAAAAAAAAAAAAAAAAAAAAAAAGTAAATGCCGAGTATCAATCTGAGTTACTATCTGATCGATTTACAATTTTATGGATTGCCATTACATTCTGTAATATCTAAATTGTGATAATTAATTTATGAATGAAACTATTATCTCTATAAATCTTCAAAATCGATTTCAAATCGATCAGATAGTTATTTTAAAAAATTGTTCTAACCCCGATACCTTATTAATTTATTTCTTTTCTTTTTTTTTTTTGATTGTCTTTCATCGACAATTTACATTTGTAATATCACGTAAAAAATTGTTCTCGACATTCGAGATAATATTTTCTTTGTATATCTTTAACAAAATAGAATTTTAAGAACGATCGGATAGATATTATTTATATATACATACATACATACATATATATATATATATATGTATATATATATAAAAAATAAAATTAATGATGAGCCTTCAATCTTAGTTTCTATATCCGATCGATTTTCAATTTTATCGTCTTACGTTGATATACTTGTTCACGTTAATAACAATCGCAGGGTGAAATTATATATATCATTAATTCGTTATCTTGTTATAATTTTACAATAGAAATTTTATGTCAAGAAAAAATCGAAAAAATCAATTAGATTCCTCGATTAATCTTAATGGTTTAATAGCTAATTGAATGAAAGTTATTTCCTTCTTTTCTTTATTTTATTTATTTATTTATTTTTTTTTTCCTAAATCATCATTCCAAACAAACTCTATTCCATAAGTGTACTCATTGAAGAGATTTTTTTCGAAAACTTTTCAATTTGCGGCGAATGATCAAGTTCTTATAAGTGAAATTAAGAGAGAAAAAGAAAAGAAGAAGAAGAAAAAAATAAAATAAAATAAAATAAAAGAAAAGAGAATAAAAGCAAAATCAAAGTTTACTAACAAGAGTTTATCAAATCGTTGTCGTCGCTAAATTCAGGTTCATAAATCGTTTTCGTAGTAATTTTACATGATCTTGATTTTTGTCGTCGTGTTATTTCGACATGTTCCTTTCCGGTTTTCTTCATTCTGATTGGCCTTCCTTCGGGTTCCTTGAAAGTTTCCTCAACGATTAAATTTTCCTGAACCTCTTCGTACACTTCCTCCTCCTGTTCGAGTTCCTCCTCTCCACTGCTCAAAGAGTTTTCAAATTCCTCGTTGAGAATCTTCGCTACTGTTAAACGATTGATCTTAGGAAGTTGTATTTTCTTTGTAGTCGATACTACTTTATCATCTTTCGTCAGGCTCATGGTGTCCTTTTTATTCCGTGCTCGGAGCGTCATCGATGGTGCTTTGTTGGGGTTGGCTGAGCTAAAAATCGCCGGGTCTGATTGTCTTGGTTCGATCTCAATCAATGAACTTGATATTATGCTCGGAAGGTTCTGTCCTTGTAGTCAACGTTTTTATAATTTTTATTTTGTATCATGTTGGATTTTTTTTTTTTTTTAATATATATATATTAAAAAAATATATATATATATTAATATATATATTTTTTTTGTATACGAGATATGTAGTTTATTTTTATTAATTATTATTATTATTATTATTATTATTATTATTATTATTATTATTATTATTATTATTATTATTATTATTGTTTTTAGGAAGCAGCATTTTTGTTAAACAGCACCGATGCTCGACGATAGTTAAAGGCGATTTGTAATGTATATAATAAATCGTATAGTAGGATATGATGATTATTGTAGTTGTTGTTGTTGTCGTTGTTGTTTGTTGGTTGGTGACGTTTATAATTTGATTTTTTTTTTTTTTTTTTTTTTTTTAAAGTTAAATGGTGACGGCGATGGTGGGAATAAGGCGTTGCAGCGTGCGAAGGGAAGCGGGCGAGTAAAACGAAAACAGAAAATCAAGAACAAACACAATGTGATTAGCGATGATAAGGATTTTGGCGAGGAGATTCGGTTCGTCCGTTTTTAGGAAACGTCTTTACGCTTAATCATTGTCGATATTTTGATATAAGATGAATCATTTTCATCATTCGATTTCGTTTTAAATAAAATTTATCAAAAGTTCTCATTTTGAATGCTCGATTATAAAAGAATTTTTTATCGAATTAATCAAAATAAGAAAAAGAAAAAAAAAAAAAAAAAAAAATATTCCATAACAAGTTAAAAAAGAAAGTGTAAATCATCATTTAATTTTGTTTTGAATAAAATTCATCGAACAAAAATTTCAATTTTTGATAAAAAGATGGATCACAAGAAACAGTGGGAAAATATATGAATGATCAATACCACAAGGTCAATAGTGTAATACATTCATGTTCTTTTGAGAAATTTATCAAAAATTTCAATCTTTCGAGTTATAAAAAAAAAAAAAAAAAAAAAAAAAAAAAAGTATCACAAGAGGACGACAAATGAGATCAATATCTCAAGGTGAATCGTGTGATTCTAATTTTATTTCTAATAATTTATCAATAATTGAAATTTTTCTATCAAAGACGTAAATAATTATAATTGATTCACCCCGTGAACGAACGCAACAATATATAAACAACGTACAAACAATGTAAATGAATCATTGATAAATGATAAGCTAATTTTGGAGATCGGCACAGAAGCTCCTCTCCTCGCATGTCTAACGTCTAAGAAAAAGAAGAAAGAAAGGAAAAAAAAAAAAAAAAAAAAAAAAAATCCAATATTATTACAACAATCCCTTCCTTTTGGCTTACCTTGATAGCGGTTTGCATGAGCACAGTAGTTGCATAGTTTACACCTCTGGTGCCAAGATGGAGGACAGCTTTGTATCCCTGTTCTGTAGCACGTGCAAGGGCCTCATCGATTTCAGCTTCTCGACGGGTCAATGCAGGATGAACGAAACGTCGATACAGTATACTCGAGCCCTTAGTTGCAGGGCTCAATAGCCAAAGCACCAAAATAATCTTGATCTCATAATAAAACGGGAACCTATATGATAAATCAATTAATTAATATTTCCATTCACATTGTCAAAGGATATAATCTCGTATCTAAACATTATTATATTAAATTAGAAATATTATTTCTTTTCTTTCTTCCTTTCTTTCCTTTTCTTTTTTTTTTTTTTTAACATCACGATTTATTTTTCAATTTTCCTTTCCTCCCACCTCACCTCCCTACCCACCTACTCACCACAAGTCTTTTCACTTTTCAATTAACCACGTACGCGAAGTTAACTTGTTGAACTATCAGGAAAAAAAAAAGAAAAAAGAAAAAAAAAAAGAGAAAGAAAGGAAAAGGAACAAATGTTTATTAACACAAAAGTGGTAAAAAGGAAAATAATCTTGGGTTATTATATTTTTACAAGACGCGGAGGAAAAAAACTAAACGGAGAGAAAGTCACACGAGTGGAAAAAAAAGAGGGGGTAGGGAGAAAGAGGGAGAGGGAGAGAGAGAGAGAGAGAGCAAAGTGCAAAACGTTTATAAAACCAGACGCCAGAATAGACGCGGGTTTTAGCTTCCTTTTTGCTTGTAATTCGAGCATGAAGAGAGATCTGGCATGAGAAGGAGAGAAAGACTAAGGGAGAGAGAGAGAAAGAAAGAGAGAGAGAGAGAGAACACAAATAGAAAAACAAAGAAAGTAAAAGAGTAAAAGGAATAGATAGAGAGAGAAAGAGAGAGAGAGAAAGAGAGATAGAGAGAGGAGGGCTGAATCCTCAGAAGTGCATGTAAGCCAATATCTATCTCGTCCGAAATTAGACTTTCGAAATTCCCTGGTGTATACCAAGTGTATGGACCACGCGGTCTGTCTCGGTTTATTGGCCTCGTTGACGCGATCCTGTGGCGCCTTCAGAAATTCGACGATATCGAATTCGTTCTATACAAAATAATTCTCCCAGACGGGCTCTGTTATTCTCCTCATGGTCTTCTTTCCAACCCTGCCATCCCTCCTTCCTTTTCACCCTTACATTCACTCCGTAATTCATCGAAAAATTTCTCTCTTTAGAAATATGATAGCTACTTGATGCGTGTGTGTGTGTCTTACCAAAAACTGAAGAAAACGTCCGTGAATGTCTCAGCACAAGTAAAAAGAGCGAATACGATCCAGTACATCATCCATTTGACCTAAAAAAAAATGCCGAACATCAAGACAATTTTTAACAAAACAGGAAAAAAAAAAAATGAAAAAAAGAAAGAAATTCTTGAACGATCTGATCTGATCAAGACGATGATTAAATGATAGTTTAGAATAATACTTACATATTCCTTAACATTTTGCGTTCTTACTGCTTTGTAGGAGGCATAGGCCGGATATAAAGTACCAAAGACTAATCTGAAAATTGGATACAAAAGTATGTAAGTTAAGGATTTCGGTAAAACAATGGCAAGGAAAACTGCCAATATCCCCAAATTGCTCAAAGTCATTCGAACAGGAAGCCTATCAACGAAACGCTGTGCCCAGTTCATCAAATGTATTATCTTTCTACGGAGTGCTATGATTTGAAGATCTTCATCGATATTATTATCGATCCTTTTCGTTCTTGTTATCAACAAGTGTTTGTTTTCGATCTCCATTTTTTTATTACTATTTATTTTTTTTTTAAATTATGACATATATCTCTATTTTTTTATATCTTTCTTTCTTTGTCTCTCTCTCTCTCTTTCTCTGTCTCTCGTGTGATGAAAAAATTGTCGTTCTCCACGATAGAAACTTCCAAATCGTCGGTCGATCAGCCGATTCGATGAACTGTAATAGAAAGAAGAAAAAAAAAAAATAAAATAAATTACTAATCAAATGAAACAACAAGAAATTAATTATCATAAATTAAAGATATAAGATGCTTACGAAGTAAAGAAGACGTTTACAAAGTTTAAAAAGAGCTTGTTCGTTTTATCGTCGAAATATAAGCATAGAATAGACAACACGTATATATATATATATATCAACAATTCTTCAAGAATTGTATATAACACGAGATGATGATTACATAGTGTAATCGATGATTAAAAGAGGAGGAAGAAGAAATTTCTCTCTCCCTCTCTTTTTTTAATTTTTTATTCCCCTATAGTACACACTAGTAACTTTCATGATAACGTTACTTTTCGACGTCACTTTTTTCTTTCCTCTTTTTTTTTCTTTTGTTCTTTTTTTCTTCATGAAATATATATAATCCCCATAGATATGCCAATAAATTAAAATATTATATGATAATCGTTAGATCGATCATCATTCGATCGGATGTTAAGTATTGTGCCAGCAAGCGAGCAAGCACGCTGGACTATGTTAACGCGGATGCCTCCAGTCAAAGACTAAACGCGTAACCCGTGATCTGGCAGGCCATGCTACGTACAACACTACTAACACACGACACACTGGCCAAATGAAGATCGGCAGGAGGTGAAGGAGGAGCAGGAGGAGATGGTGAAGGAGGTGAAGGAGAAGAGGAGAGGCTCGCGCGAATGCCCCGCGTAGAACTCTATTTTCGCGCTTTAAACGCGTTGTCACGCTTACCATGAACAAATAGAAGAACGACAAGAGAATGAAACTCTCATCGGAGAGAGAATTGGTCAGCTGATCTTAAATGACCCTGGAGGAAGTAACCAATTTAACGACTGTTAATTCAAACAATTTCTTATTGTTCGTCTTTTCACTCAACGCTTGTTAAATAATAATAGCAGCAACAACAATAATAATAATAATAATAATGATAATAATAATAATATGTATATTGGTAAGAGATGTGGAAGTTATAAATAAGAGTTTTAATTATGTAGGGTGACTGATTTATATCTATGCCTGAAATATATTTCTTGTTTGTAAAAATTTATTAATTCCTTTGAAGCACAATGATGATAACGAAATTGTTTTTAATGCCTGAAAGTCTTATTATACGTCTTCTTACTGAAGACTTGTTATAACAATAGCAAAATAATGATGATGATGTCTACACATATATCAGTAAAAAGTGTGATCAATTTATATACTTCAATTTGAAATATATTTTTCGTTTGTAAAAAGATTGATGAACTCCTTTCAAGAATAAAGATAATGGAAAAGAATTATTTCCAATGTCTAAAATATCGTCTTTTTTCCTTCATCCTTTTATCTTTTAATCAAATCAAAAATACTAACTCTAAATGATTGACTTTCGTAATGATTTAATTTAAGGACAAATATAATACAAAATCGTTTCTAATGCCTATCTTTTTCTTTCTTTCATTTATTTATTTATTATTTTTTCTTTTCTTTTTTTTTTTTTTTTTTTTTCGGGGTAGAACAAAATCAACAGTACATACTTGAAATGATTAAAATTATCGAATGTAATTGAAATGACTCACCCTGTATGTTTCGAATAATTTAATGATTATTCTTGATGAATTTTGATAATTTGGAAAATTATATAAAAAATAATAACAAAAGAAATAATAACAAAATAATGGAAAGATTATAATTTGACGTGTATTCTGAACTGTCGTTGACGATTATATACTGCTATCGAATAAACGATGGACTACTACGACGACCTATAAAACTACGAACGATTACGCAGGTAATTCGATGATCGTTACCAATGTCGGTGCAATTACATAATCGACCGTCCTCAATGCTGCTCTCTTTCTCTCTCTAGCTATCTTTCTTTTTCTATCTCTAGCTCTCTTTATTCGAACGATGATTTGCACACGAACATGACACCAAGTTATTCGATACGTTTCTTCTTTTTTCTTTCTTTTTTTTTTCTTTTTTTTTGTATATATATATAATTTTTACATTTATATAAAAAGTGCAAAATGTTAAACCAATCGAACGACGCATTTGTATATTCGCGAAATATAATTGAAAATGATTTACGTAAGCTCGACACGTTAGCTCGAATCGTTTTAATTTTCTTATATAACGCAAAAAAGAAAAAGTTATAGATATTATTTATATTAATATAATTGTACTATAATGTACTATGTATGTGTGTGTGTGTAATGTTATAGGTAAAAAGTAAATGTTATCAGACGATGTATAATATGCAAATAATTTTTATGCACTTTGGTAAATTGATGCACTGGAAAAATGCAACTGTATTTTTTTTTGTTTAAATGGAAACCTATATTATCGATTGCATCAGTTTGATGCATAGATGATCATGGAATAATGATATTAGCTTTCGTTAGAAACTTTCAGTCAGTATTAGATAAACACGAACATTCGACGTAAGTACATAACATTTTCTCCATTTAAACTACTTCTTTTAGAAAAGACATACACGTACACGGAAAAGACGAACAAAGTCGTACAATGAAATAGTATGTGTGTGTGTGTGTATTATGTAGCCAAGGTCAAGATCATTGCAGTTCATTTCTACATAGTTAGAATTCCAACGAGGCTGATTAACAGTTAACTCAGGCATCGGATGTTTTTCAAATGTAGTTACTAATTTATTTTCATTTTTTTTTTATTTCGAGATTAAAAAAAAAAAAAAAAAAAAAAAAAAAAAAAAAAAAAAAAAAAAAAAAAAAAAAAAAAAAAGAAGAAAAAAAAATTTAATTGTACTTTAATTATATTAGATTCGGATTCATAAACAAATCAGATTTCTTTAGATATTAATTAATCACATAAATGTCAAGTAATTTTTTTTTCTCCTTTTTTTTTTTTTTTTTTAATTTCATTTGTTCAATGACTGGATGTATTATATAATTATACTATAGTATATAATTATATTAATAATATTAGTAATAACACTACTTATACCGATGTTATACTGATAATATATTTTTTTTTTCTTTATCATATGAATAATAAATAATAATTATTATTTATCGATATAAGATATAATTTGAAAACATATAAATCCGATGACAATCGAATGACTTTGGCTTAAAACGGTGTATCAATTAATAATGAAAGACCTCTTTAAATTCTACGCAGAGACGCCTTTCATACGTTAATTGGAGTAACTAGCAATATGTGGAGTGTTTTGTACGAAACAATGATGGCATTATGACAGGAATAGAATGTGTTCGTTGTTGTTCTTTTTTTTTTTTTGCTTCCTTTCTTTTTGTATTGTTTTTTTCCATACGATAAACGTCATTTCTTTATTATACCAAATACGTAGGAGTCCATTGTTCCTCTTCCTCTTACTATTTTGAAACGATCCTTCTTTTTTATCTTCCTCTTTTTTCCTTTTTTTCTCTCTTTTCTTGTGCGAAGGCTCCTCAACGAGTTACCAGTTACCAAGACGCCGTTATCTCTAAGTGGATTTATATCTTTGGATGATCTACATCCGTCAGGGGGTCGTTTATATTTTAAGAACAATCTTTCTCACGTGTGCGGATCCTTAGCGGCCGACCCACATTCCTTTTTTCCTTATTTCGAACACGATCTTTCGTTTTCACATTTCTCCTTTTCTTCTTTCTTTCGTTCTCTTTTTTTCTTTCTTTCTTTTTTTTTTAACTTAATTATATATAATAAAATGAATGTAAGCGTTCGCGTATAATGTAGGTCAATTCGTACGAAATGAATTATATATATATATATATATATATATATAAATAAAATATATGATATTTAAAAAAAAAATATATATATGTATATGTATAAATGTTATAATGCTCTTCCGAGAAAAAATATGATCGCGAATATCTAGTTCATTTTGAATCATTTTCATTTTTTTCAGACTTTAATAAAAAAAAAAAAAAAAATGGCTGGCAGCAATTTGCACGAATCAATCGGCAGCCATTTTGAAAAAAAGAAAAAAGAAAAAAATATCACGCGAACTAATAACATTTTTCGACGGGAATGAGGTGCCTAGAGATTTGCAAGAATATAAAATTCTCATTAAAAAAAAAAAAAAAAAAAAAAAAAAAAAAAAAAAAAAAACATGCACTTGTATTTTTCTGATGCATCGTTGCATTTACGAATAAAATGAAATAATAGAAGAAAAATTAGACATTAGCATATGCATTCCCTGCCAATTTTTCTCTACGAACATTTTCTTCTTTTATCTTTTATCAAATTCAAGATATAATTCGTTCTAATTGCTCAACGTATCCGGCATGGTATAATATAAAAATAAAAATGCGAGTAGAGTAAATCATTTCTTTCGAAAGAAATGAATTTACATACAAATATATTAATTAATAAACTATACCAACAAACATATATATATATATATATATATATATATATATTTATGTATAAATCATATAATAAAAATAAAAAAATAAATAAATTTTATATTTTTTTTGTGATGTTTTTTTTTTTTTTTTTTTTTTTTTTTTTTTTTTTTTTTTTTTTTTTTTTTTTTTTTTTTTTTTTTTTTTTTTTTTTTTTTTTTTTAAAGATTTAAGAGTTTGGACTCGATCTAACTATAAGATAAATGCAAGTAGAAATTTATGCGCGAAAAAGTGCATATTATAATTTTGTATAAATGATGGTTTCTCTAACGTTGACCTGAAGGTAGTCAACCGTTGAGAATGTCGTTTATCTAGTTCACTGATGAGCCAACCAACCAACCAACCAACCAACCTCCGACGAAATTGTCGTAATGAGGACACGTTTGTGATATTTTCAGATGGGGACGAGGTGCATCAACCTGCTCCTTGACGAGACTACTATAGAACCATTAAATCGAATGAAAATAAAATGATAGTCTAAAATTAACAACAATTTTATATCGCTTGCATTTTGTTTTTCATTAAAAATATGTGATTACCAATGTAAGGGTTTACACGTTCAGATTAGTAATTTCGATGAGTAAGATTTGATTCTATTATCAAATAATTTTTTGCTTCTTTCTTCTTCTTTTTTTTTTTTTGTTTCACGTTAAGCATATGTATACATAATTTAACTTCGATTTTATTGAAACACCACTTGTATACTTGTAATCTCTTTTGTTTCTTTTTTTTTTTTTATCAATACATACATTTTGAATTTTTATTTGTATTTAAAATAAAATAAATAAATAAATAAATAAAAAAGAAAAAGAAGGCAAAAGAATACGTATAATATTCTAATATTTCTTATTTAATTTAATACACTAATTTTATTGTATTTATTAAAACATTCAAAGAGTTTTTTCTCTTTTAAGAATCTAAGACTTATTATCAATTTTATATAAGTATATATTATTTAAATATTTCTTTTTGACTCATTGTATAGCTTAAAATTGCAATGAGGCTATAAAGTAAATGCATACACACATACACACACACACACATATATATATATACATATATATATATGTGAATAATAAATAACTTACCGATGAGACAGCCAACTAATTGTCCTTCGAAATGATTATTACAAGCGCGACCGATTTAAAATAAAATTCAACATTTCTTCTTCCGCATTGTGTTATACACATTGTAACAGCGGATGAATCTAAGTTAAAAATAAATATAACTCAAAATGATGCAGAATAGTTATTATATTTATTTTCATATAAAAAAATTCTTACAAAGTTCTTCGATAAAAGTTCAAATACTTTTCTCCCCTCTCTCTCTCAC